TGCTGAATGGAAATATTTAGAGGCCAACCCTCCAAGTCCTTAATGGGGCCGATTGACAAAATTTGAAAGGGTGCATATTGTTTAGAACATTATTCTGACCATCTTTTGTTCAGTATTGCTTATCAAAATATTCCCCCTTTTTCGAGATATAAAGCGTCAAAGATTTAGCATTCTGGCCCCTTGTGACCCCTTATTACGTAACATATGATCAGAATCTTATCATATATTGTTGTAAATCGTTAAGATAAGCATCTTTGCTTCAGTAATGTATTACAAATTATTGATCGTTAAAGAGTTATAGATGAAAGACTTTTGGCCCCTCTGAGCCCCTAATTTGAGGGGTCAGCCCCTTTTCCTTGATATCAAATGAAAGGTCTCATTGATTTTGCAGACTTCTTGTTCAACACCTATGCAGAGATTTCCTTTGGTTGCGGAGATATGCTGAATAGAAATATTTAGGGGCCACTCCTCCAAGTCCTTAATGGGGCCGTTTGAAAAAAATTGAAAGGGTGCATATTGTTTAGAACATTATTCTGACCATCTTTGTTTAGCATTGCTTATCAAAATATTCCCCCTTTTCGAGATATAAAGCGTCTAAGATTTAGCATTCTGGCCCCTTGTGACCCCTTATTACGTAACATATGATCAGAATCTTATCATATATTGTTGTAAATCGTTAAGATGAGCATATTTGCTTCAGTAAAATATAACAAATTATTGATCGTTAAAGGGTTAAAGATGAAAGACTTTTGGTCCCTCTGAGCCCCTAATTTGAAGGAGTCAGCCCCCTTTTTCTTGATATTAAATGAAAGGTCTTGTGATTTTGAAGACTTCTTGTTCAACAACTATTCAGAGATTTCTTTTCGTTGTGGAGATATGCTGAATAGAAATATTTAGGGGCCACCCCTCCAAGTCCTTAATGGGGCCGATTGACAAAAATTGAAAGGGTGCATATTGTTTAGAATATTATTCTGACCATCTTTTGTTCAGCATTGCTTATCAAAATATTCCCCCTTTTTCGAGATATAAAGCGTCTAAGATTTAGCATTCTGGCCCCTTTTTGACCCCTAATTACGTAACATATGATCAGAATCTTATAATATATTGTTGTAAATCGTTAAGATAAGCATCTTTGCTTCAGTAATGTATTACAAATTATTGATCGTTAAAGAGTTAAAGATGAAAGACTTTTGGTCCCTCTGAGCCCCTAATTCAAGGGGTCAGTCCCTTTTTCTTGTCATCAAATGAAAGGTCGTATCATTCTGCACAACTTTTGTTCTATAAGTATTAACAAAATGTTTACAGGTAAAAAGATATGAAACAAAATGTGTCAAATTTATCTTTATTCGTTTAGGAGAACACTCCAGGACAAGCCAACCCTCTAAAAATCAGAAAATCGTCAATATCTCACTACCGGATGTGACATCATAAACGAAAAAAATTTCCAATAAGGTTCAGATAAATATCTATCACATGTGAAAGTTTGGTGAAAATCTACCCAGCCATTTCCGAGAATTCGCGTGCACAAAATCGGTAAGAAAAAAAAAGAATAATAATAATAGGGAAAAAGAAACCGAACGAAAACAATAAGGTCTTCCGTTGGAGACGGAAGACCTTAATAATAGGGAAAAAGAAACCGAACGAAAACAATAAGGTCTTGCGTTGGAGACGGAAGACCTTAATAATAAGAAACAGAGTAAAAACAATATGTTCCCAAACTTCGTTTGGGGAACATAATTAAGGTAGTACAAAACACCCATGAAATCTGTTTTAACTCATTTCTTTTAAGGTTTTGCCAAAGGTCAACATGCCCAAAAATTTATTTTTACAATAGCTCCAAAACTATGCGGTTTATAAAGTTAAAACTTTTACAGTTTATAAATATATCATTGATTAACAGATAGAAAATATCAATTGATAACAAATACTTAAAAAAATATTTATCGAGAAAAATTCTTTTTAAAAAATGCATATATATTTTTTTTTAAAATACACCTAATTAATTCCGTACTTTCAGTGAGAGCCATCATTGCAGAAACAATATATGTTTATCAATGAAGGGCAAGTTGGACTTCGATAGCCTCTGGAAAGTTGTTTTCCCTGTTTATTTTGTCCAAATGTTAAGATTTGAAACCGAAAGTACATTGCAAATGGCGGATTTTATAGGGGTATTCTCTTTATATATGTCATGCTTTCAATAACAACCTTTCAGAGACTATTCTTGTCCAACTTGCCCTTCATTGATAAACATATACTATTTCTGCAATGATGGTTTTCACCAAAAGTACAGAATTAAGCAGGTGCCTTTTTTTTTTTTTAAAAATATGCAATTTTTTAAAAGTTTTTTTTTCTCAAAAAATATTTGTTTTTAAATATTTGTTTTCAAGTGATACTTTCTATCTATTAATCAATGATATATTTATAAACTGTGAAAGTTTTAACCTTATATCTCATATAGTTTTGGAGCTATTGTAAAAATAAATTTTTGGACATCTTGGCCTTTGACAAAACCTTCAGTACACTAGAAAACAAGATGTGTTTGTGTAACACTGATGCCCCCGTATGGCAGCTTATGGCGAAGGTGAAAGTTTCTCAAATGCAAGTCAAAATCCAGGCCAAAATATAATATAAAAATTGTTGGTACCCAAAGAAAGGTCTTTTCTCGAGGAATATACCTGTGAAATTTGAAAGCCCAAGCTTCAACTGTTCAAAAGTTATGGCGAAGGTTAAAGTTTTTTAAAAGTAAGTAAAACTTCAAAGTTAAGGTCAAAGTTGTTGGTATCCAAAGGAATGTCTTGTCACAAGGATTACGTATGTGAAGTATGAAAGCCCTAGCATCAGCCATTCAAAAGTTATGGCCAAGGTTAAAGTTTTTCAAAAGTAGGTCAAACTCCTAGCTCAGGGTCATAGGGTCAAAGTGGTTGGTATCCAAAGGAAGATCTTGTCACAAGGATTACATATGTGAGGTATGAAAGCCCTAGCACCAACCGTTCAAAAATCATGGCCAAGGTTAAAGTTTTTCAAAAGTAGGTCAAACTCCTAGGTCAAGGTGGTTGGTATCCAGAGGAAGGTCTTGTCACAAGAAATACACCTGTGAAGTTTGAAACTCCATGCACCAAATGTTCATAATTTATGGCTAAGGTTAAAGTTTTTCAAAAGTAGGTCAAACTCCAAGGTCAAAAGGTCAAAGTTGTTGGTAATTAAAGGAAGGTCTTGTCACAAAGAATAAACATGTGAAGTTTGAAACCCCAAGCACCAACTTTTCAGAAGTTATGGCCAAGGTTAAAGTCTCATAAAATTTTGCAAAATTGGGCCAAACTCCAAGGTCAAGGTCAAATATGATGGTACCCAAAGAAAGTTTTTGTCACAAGCAATACACATGTGAAATATGAAAGTCATAGCTAAAACCAATCAAAAGTTATGGACAATGTTAAAGTTTTTGCGGACAAACAGATAAACAGAGAGACGAACGGACAGGGCAAAAATTATATACCCCCGAATCTTGATACGGGGGCATAAAAAGAATAATATCACTATATTGTCAATTATTAATGGTCTTTGTAAGAAAATTAATAAGTTGTGACATGCTTTTCGCCATATTTTGTAAAATATTAGAGAATCCTATACTGTACAGCAGGTTAAAATCGCGGTCGGAAAAGATCGCGATTTGTTCAACTTGCAGCATATCGCGGTCGTTTGAATTCGCGGAAAGGAAAAATTATACAATTTTTTTTCAGCACGGCAAATATTTTCCTTGTGTATATTGTGTCGATTCTGAACCCCATTAAATAGAACGATACACCGTACTGACCCCGATTAGAAAGACAAAATGTCGCACGATTTACAATGTTATGCATCCATATAAATTTTCTTCTTTCTTTCTTGCGTTTTCTTTCTTTTTATTAAATATTTTTGAAATACATATGAGTCTATACTTGAATGATTTATTCAAGTGATTTCAAGTCGTATCCAAAACATTCATGTAAATAAAAGAAGCACTTTGGTATGTGTTCTTTCATAGGTATGTTTTGAGTAGAGTACAGAGTAGTATTTACTGCAATATATTTAAATCCCTCTGAATCTAAATCAGTTGTCAGTACCGATAGTCCAAATGTTGAACTGTTAATAAAATTGAATTAATGTGTAACAGTGTTGTCTTTACTACGTTAGTGCCTTGATTAAAGAGATATGCACGGGTGAAATCTAACAATACATGTTTTGTAGATAATTACATCGCACCTCTACTGAGTGGCAGAATTAAATGTTAGTTATAGATGTTTATTTATCAATTAAGCTTTAAAAACCCCAGCAACTACGTGTTAGTAATTAATCCGTACACCCGCATAATTAGGAAGACAGCTTACATTTCCGCTATATATTAATTACTGCTTTTATGTTTGCAAGGAAACACAAATAGAGTTAACGAATCTAATCACAGATATCGGTAATAGCGAGCGCAGCGAGCGGCGCGAAGCGCCGCTCGTCACTGCGAGCTCTAACGACAACGCCTGGGCGAAGAGAAAATTCGGACTACTGCACATTCATTCAACAGAATTTTTTTCCGCAGTAATTCTGACCCACAATGCATCGCTTCTTAAAGCTACGTTCTCGCGAGAATAACAAATGATCATGCACACACAAAGAGAAAAAAAAACTCACCGTGTTAATTAACATTGCACGTGAGTAAGCCCATGTCAAAGTTATCTTTCTCAATATAAACCTGTGTACCCTCGAACAAAAATGCAATGGACCTGTGACGTCATCATCAAGGCTTTCCACTGGGGTTCTCGTACATCAAACGAGAACTCGTGGGATTATTGAAAATAATTATTTACAACACATGAACACGCTCAATTTTGTCAAGTAATAAATAAAAAAAAAATACAAAATTAACTAGAGCTTCCTTTGTTTAATTTTCAATTTTATTTGTCATTCAATACACCTCGATAATTTCTGTTTTTATTTATGGAAAGTGACCGAGGTTTTCTTTTACAAATATATCGTCTGCTAGCCTGGTTCCTGCAAACTGCTGCAAGTAAACAAACCTTTGTGAAAAGTGGGGAAAAATAAGAAAAGGTGATAAGTATAGAGTAACATATTGTTTAATCAAGATTTAAACATTACAATTTTCACATAAGCATTGGTAAAGTGTCAAGTATCGGCAAATAATCAGGTATCAGAATGAATCAAAGTGCAAAGAATCCTAGAAGAGTTGGCACTGTCATCTCTGACCAAAAATTTCATGTGCATAATGTTCCTGGGGACGGAAATTGCTTTTTTCATTGCTTGAGTCTTGCATTACATGACAATTTAATCATGACCAGTACTTACAGGCAAGAAATTTGTAATCACATACTGAAAAATTGGGAAAATTTTCAAAATAATCTTGAAATCCAACAGCATTCTTCATTGTCATACTTTCAACAAATGATTCTTGGGAATGATTACGCTTCTTCTTGTGAAGTTGAAGTTGCAGCTTTATTACTTAAACGTCAAATCAATGTTTGGCTTGAGTGTAAAAATGCAAAAAATATGACATCTCATATGCTCACAACCTTTCAACCTTCTGCTCATACAGATAATCCACCAATTAATTTGTTACTAAAAAATCAACATTTTCAGTACTTGACACCTGCTCTATCTGAAACACAATCAAGCAAGTCAAATAAAAAATCTCTCCAAAATTTTGAAACTGTGCAATCTCATTTAACATCTGCACAAGAAACAAATTCATCCAAACCAACCAGCCATCAAAACCATGGATGTATTAAAAATAACATTCCTTCTGAACACAATTATGCAAATGTCCAAAATTTTGAAGCCCATTTACAACAAGAAACAGACACATGCAAGCAAACAAAGCAACAAAACCTTGACAGTGTTGTAAACAATATTCCTTCTGAGCATAATTATGCAAATGTCGAACATTACAATAGCAGCTTATGCCACTCAGAGCAACATCTATTCCTTGAACATTCATATGCACAGTCTACATGTACAAGTCAAAATCATGAAAACTTGCATTTAAAGAGCCCAACAGTAGTCCAAAAAAATTCTAATCCATCTAGAAAACGACAATTCAGACCATACTTGTATTCCACTTCAGCAAAAAAAATTAAACATGCACCTGAACATGAGAAAAGGCTTCAGGAACTTTGTAGAAAATATGGTATTAAATATGAAATGCCTGCAGAAAATGAAACTTATGTAAAATACAAATCACGCCGATCAAAACTACAAAAACAAATTAAAAGCATCATACAAAAATATAAATTAAATGAGTCAGATCTTCCCCCACCTCCCCCTCTTTGTGACAATACAAAATATGATAATGCCATGGACTCCATCAGAGCCTTTGAACTGCAACAAATGTCATATAGCTTTCAATTTTGTACTATTTGTAAAGAAAGAAGACTTGAAACAAGAATGTCATCAAACGACATCTGCACACGATGTAAAACTGACAAAAATAAGATTAAATTATTTTCATCTTCAAACAACATGGACCCAGGAAAATTACCCCAGGAATTGCAAGATCTTACAATTATTGAGCAACAACTCATCAGTAGACTCTCCCCTTGCATTAATGTCCATATGCTAAATCATGGTGGCATTGCTTCCTCAGGTCATTGTGTAACTTTTCCTCAAGAAATAAATGAGCCTGCCAGAATTTTTCCTCGACTCCCTCAAGAAATTCAAATTATAAAAGTTAAAAAACAAGGCAAAAATGATACATGCAGAGAATTTAGAGTCCGTCGTTTCAAAATTGAAAAAGCTTTAAAATGGCTCAAAAATAATAACCCTGCTTATACAGACATAATTATAAGTTCTGAGAGATTACAAAAACTCCCCGAGGATGGAGAGTTATCAGATATAACTACTCTACAATTTAAAGAGAACACCCCTCACAAAAATGATAAAGGCCCATCAGCTGAACAAATTGATATTGGTGTTTCTGAAGGTACCTCACACTCTGCTGCACAACTACCTGATTCAAATATACGTGTTAAGGAACAAGTACAAAAAATTGTGCAAGAGATCATTGGGGAAAATAATGGGGAAGTTTCTATCAACAGACAGGGGACAATATCTATTCCTTGGCCCACCAGAGGAAATATTCCTGTATCAGAATTTACTACTCAGCATTTTTTTACTCTTGCCTTTCCTGCCCTCTTTCCTTATGGCTCTGGTGACTTATACATTAACAGACCTATTTCTATCACATCTATGACTGACTGGGCTGAACATTTATTATGGTATGATGATGGCAGGTTTGCCAAACATCCGTATTTCAAATTTGTAGTTCACAATATGATCATGCGCAAAAATGCCCTTGAAAAGAGCAAATACATAATAAAACAAAAACTTGGAGACAACCACTTCACAATCAGTGATCTGAAAAAACTTGTTGAAAATAATGACACATCAGTGAATGAAAAAATTCTGTATTTTGCAGGAAATCTAAGGGGCACAACTCAATACTGGGGACAGAGGGCAAAAGAATTAAGATCATTAGTGCAATATAAAATAAATGAGGGAATGGGTCTACCATCATTTTTTACTACAGGTAGTTGTGCAGAGTTTCACTTCAAACCTCTCAAGAGATTATTATCTATGTATGTCTCTCAAACAACTGGCTCATCAGTAGATCTGACAGACAAAAATATTCTTTTTAAAACTCTTCAAGACCATGCACATGTAGTTGCTCAATATTTCGACCTGAGAACACAATCATATTTTAGAAATGTAATGGGTCCTGTCTTTGGTGTTGACTCATATTGGTACAGACAAGAGTTTGCTAAGTCAAGAGGTATGGTTCACTGGCATGGTCTTTGCTGGAGATCAGATCGAGAGCCTCATAATCTTTTGCACAATGCCATCTCAGCTGGTCTTTCAGATGAAGAATGTGCTGAAAAACTATCTCAGTGGGCTAGTGAAAATTTTGGTCTCACAGCTAATCATCCTGCTGGTAAGGATGAAAACGGTATCTCAAATAAAAATTTGTGGCCTCCACCAGAGGGTACTGCTCCTCCTCCTCCAGATGAAAATAATCCCCTATTCAAACTTTTGATGGATGTCAGTTATTCCCAAGAATCACTACTAGAGGATCATTTACTTTTATCTAACCGTTTTAATTTACACCGGTGTTCAGATTATTGCCTGAAACCTTCTAAATTCAATGCATCTGAAAAAAATTGTAGAATGGAATTTCCAAAACAGCTGCGATCTTCCCCCGCTTTAGTTAAAGACAGGAATGGATCTCTGCGACTCGAGATGGAAAGAGATCATCCAGTTCTTGTGCAACATTCCAAATTTCATACGCAAGGCTGGAGAGCCAATGGTGACATTTCTTTAATTCTTTCTAAAAGCGATCCATCTAATCCATCTGTTGAAGAAATTCTTGCCACTGAAAAATATATAACAGGGTATGCCTGCAAAGGTAACGAACCAACTGGTGCTCTTTCTGATCTTTTTTCTGACATGGTAAACAATTCTGATGAATCCTCAGGTGAAACACCAAAATCACTCTGTACAAAACTTCTTATGAATACTGTTAAGAGAGACATTTCTTCTGTGGAAGCCTGTTTTGAGCTATCCTCAATACCCCTGTTCCGTTCTAGTCACTCTTTTCAATATGTGAGTTTATCAGGTTGTAGAGTACTCCAGCAATCTGGAATGAACACATTAACAAAAAATACTATCATTGATAAATATCTTTCTAGACATGAGAATGATCATTCATCTCTCTATCAATTTATTTCAAAAAATGGAAAAGTTCCTGTAATAAATGGACCAACACAAGCTTCTTGGCCTTTAGAGGAAGCTTACTGCAGAACAAGTCTTATTTTACATTTTCCAAATTGGAGAAGTTTTTCAGACATAAAAGACAATGAAACAACTTGGATAGAAAAGTTTGCACTCTTTTTAGAATCAGAGAATTGTCCTAATTTCATTAAAGCAGATGTTAAGCAGGCTAAAGAAAAAAAATCTTACAATTTCTCACAAGAAGAAGACTGTTCGAATGACAACATGGTCCAACCAGAATGGATGGAAGTTCTTCGTCCAAATCCAAACTTTGATGATTTACATCAGAATTTTACTTTTGATGATGGAGGTCCTGACCATGATTGGAGTGCTTCATCAGAAAATTATCCAGATGACCTTGGTGAAGAGTGGTGGAATAGTCTTACAAAATCTATTGAAGAAAATGAAAGTCTAAAAATACCTCAAGTCAACTTGGACAGTATGAATGAGGACCAGTTATTGGCATTCAATATAGTCATGAAAACACTTTTAACCTTCTCAAATAAATCTGAAAATTACAAGCCACTTAGAATGGTTGTTTCTGGTTCTGCAGGGTCTGGAAAATCTTTTCTAATTAAATGTCTTGTCAGAGCAATTCGTTTATTTTTTAATTCTAATAAAGCAGTTCAAGTATTGTGTCCTACGGGCAATAGTGCTAATTTGATTTCAGGAGTTACTCTTCATAGTTTTCTAAAAATACCTACCCTTCAGAGAGGAGGAGAAATGAAGGCACCAGATGGTTCATTAGGGGAGGACCTCCAAGCTAACTGCTCTGGAATTCGTGCCATTCTTGTTGATGAACGATCTTTAGTAGGATCAACTACACTTGGATGGATGGATTTTCATTGCAGGTGTGGCACAGGTATTTCTGACCAGACCTGGGGTGGTATTCCTGTGGTAGTTTTTTTTGGAGACGATGTACAACTTCCACCAGTCTTAGATGCTCCTGTATATTATTCAAAAGGTAAATCCCCAGCTTCAATGCATGGTGTTTTAGTTTGGCAAGAATTCAAAACTGCTGTTGTTTTAAAGAAAATCATTCGTCAAGGAGAGCATGAAAAAGAACTAAAAGATGTCCTTTTGTGTCTTCGGGAGTACAAGGCAACTCCTTGTCAGGCCCAGTGGTTGCAGCAGTTTCAGTGGAACAACCTGAAAATAACACATGGTGAAGGATTATTGGAACGAATATCAGAAAAAGGACTCTTTGTTTTCCCTACTCATGATGAAGAATGGAATCATAATGCAACAAAATTATATGATGTAAATAAAAAATTCCCAGTAGCAAAAATTATTTCCATATCAAAAGGTCAGCATTCTAAGACTGGTGGAAGTGAAAATGCTGGTGGTCTTCTTAACACTGTATATATTTCCAAAAATTCGAAAGTTATGATTTCAGTTAATTTGTGTGTAAAATTTGGACTCTTTAATGGTGCAGTTGGCACTGTTGAAGATATTCTGTATTTAAATGGTAGAAAACCCCCTGCACTTCCTGATGTTGTTATGGTTGAAGTACCAAATTACAGTGGTCCACCCTTCATACCCACTAAACCTAAAGTTATACCAATATTTGCGGTAGAAAGAAAAATAGATTGTAGGTGTCGTTTCTGTAAACGTAAGCAAATTCCTTTACGACTGGGATGGGCAACAACAATTCATCGGTGCCAAGGTATGACAATTGGGGAGGGGGAGGTAAATAGATATATTGTAATTCATCCTGGAACAAGGGCTTTTGAATCTCGAAATCCTGGTGCTCTGTTTGTAGCCTTGTCACGTGCTAAATCTACTGGAAAAAATAAATCTGACCCCGATTTTGCTTGGCATCCTTCTTTTCTTGCTAACGCAGACAGAATATGTCACAAAGTCAACACACCAACTACAGCAGCCAGAGAAAGGGAGATTAAAAGAATTGAGATTTTTGCCAAACAAACAATTGTAAATTTTCAGCATTTAAAAGAGGATACAGAATTGAAAAAATTGATACATGATCTTCATTCATCAAGCACTACAGAGGAATAATGCTTCTCTTCATTACCTTCTGAAATATGTCCATTTTTTTTATCCATTTACCCCCCAATCCCCTTGATCTCCTCATCTGTTCAAATTACCTTTTTATTTACATATAACGGTGGGGGACACATCAGTCTCTAACTGTTTGATGTAATTTTCGATGGTAATCATATGGTTCTTCACCTTAGTAAAAGCATATATAAGGTTCAACTTAACTTCTGTGCAATGCATGTCAGATTTTTTTTTTCTGTTTCTGTAAAGGGATAATGCTCTCCTTGTCAACACTTGAAACCTAAAAACTTATCTATTTAATCCCCCTCTCTCCAACTGACCTCTTCATCTGTTCAAATTACCTTTTTATTTACATAGAATGGTGGGGGACATATAAGTCTCTAACTGTTTGATGTAAATTTATAGTTATCACGTTTTTTTGTACTTGGTTATAAAGAGATTGTGTAATACCATGCCAAGATTCTTTCTATTTAATGCAATGATAATAATGTGCCATCTGGGATAAAATCTAAATGGAGGCCACAAATTTCTGCTTACTGCATACTACATTCGTTTTATTTCTACTCGGACTCACCACTAAAATCATTTCTTTTAGGGAAGTAAATTGAGTTCTTAATGGTATCTTTTTGTATGTCAACTCTATTTCTTACCTATTTGCTATATATATATATATATATATATATATATATATGTGTGTGTGTGTGTGTGTGTGTGTGTGTGTGTGTGTGTGTATATACATAGGACCATGCCAGATTCCTTGTTTACTGCCATATGACATTAAATACATTTTCCTCTGTCTGTTATCTGAAAAATCAACACCAAAGGCTTTTTAGTTTCCATCGACAGCATTCACTATACCCTTGAGACATTTTTAAAAAAAACATTTTAAGGAAATGTTTTATACAGTCTGATTTCCAATTCATTAAAAAGTGTCTTAGTAATTGTATGGTTCATTTTTTAATTCTCTTATTTTCATATCATTTGCTGGAGGTTAAACTTATTAACAATGAATGACGGCCTCTATCTCTCTCTGCATGTGAAATGTTATGGTCTACAGGTCCAGGGTACCAATTTTTTAATTAAATAAGAGAACGGTGTGAGACATACTAGTCTCTAACTGTGCACTCCTCCTCAGTTAAATCTTACGTAAAGGGTTACAAATGAAAAAAGCAATTTCATGTCTCAGACTTGCACTGTATTACATACATGCAAAAGTCCATATATTTTTATGTATTCTCAAAATATGTGCCAGGTATTTTACTGAACTTACTTAACACATTGAGTAATTTATTACACATTCATTTCTTTCTTAATTATGTAATTATGTAGAGGTATCTGAATATCCATTTTTACTTTAGATAATGAACATTATTATAGCCAGTGACTCCCGGGGTAGAGGATTACAATCTTTTGTACAGAAAAATAATCCTTTTCCTTACCACTGGAAAATATCCGTTATATGCAGACCAGGAGGCACTATTGAAAGGTTAAAGAACGAAGTTATATCAATTCACAAAAGCATGCCTGACACCTCACCATGCCGCATAGTTTTCATGGCTGGAATCTGCAATTTAACAAAAAAAAATCATCATCAACATGGAACTGAAATTTCATATCATCATTCTTCAGAAAGCATTTCATCTATAATCAAAAACATTCAAAATTCATTTCAAACCCTCCCATCATCCAACACTTCTGTTCAATTTGCCACCATTCCTCCTGTTTCAATTCATAACTTTAAAGATTTTCAATTCAAAAAAGGTTACCTGCAAATAAGTCAATATGCTTTCGACGACTCCAACTTCCAGCAAAATTCTCTTGAACATGACATTAGGGAAATCAACCTAGAAATTTGTAAACTAAATGAACAAAACAATGTTAGTACTATAAGGCTTGACAAGGATGTGTCTAAAATTTCAGTCAAGAAAAGAGGCAGGAATGGTAAAAACAGGAAAAAACGTACCAAGTTTATTTACAATCATTTTTATGATGGCGTTCATCCAGACAGTTTGCTTTCAGATAAATGGTTCTCAAGGATATGTTCCACCATCTACAATGATATTGAAAAAAATAATCTGTGTGCAACTTCGGAGGAAGAGGTGGAGGAGGATGAGGAAATAGATGACACTTGGGATTTTAAAAGAAAATGAATATATCCAATTGTCTTTCAGACTCAACACAATCTCTTGATTAAGCTATTTTTTTTATTATTTATGGTTAAAAATTTGTCATTTTTTACCCAATTTTATTGCAGTTTAGATACAATACATTAACAGACAATGGACCATCAGACATGACGATCGATAGTACCTCGGTGTTTCGTTTTCAGTTTTACTATTTTGAAAGGGAGTCATAAAGTTTTAATAAATAACGTCTTGCAAATCTAATTACTACATTGATGAGAGTGATTATAGTCATAGCACAGAAGGTGATGAACAGTAACTCAAACAATGGTAAAACTCAATTATGACCGCAAAAAGTACTGTTTACAGCAATGATGACTTAGTAATCATTGCGCATGGAAGATAATGACCCAGTCATTATAAAAAATGTATTAAAAAATAAATAATGCTCTGTTGATCAAAATTTCATTAAAATTAAACTTAATGTATAACAGTTATATTTTTAAAATCTTACCCATTAGGAAAAATGCAATGTCTGTTGAGGTAAAAGAGGATAGATAGTTACATGCATATATGTCATGAAACTTTACATTTACTAGAAATGGAACAAGGCTTGGTCATGTAAAGTTACCTTTTGTGTCAGGTCTTGGGTCCTCATCCCATAAGTGGTAATAATTGTGCAATGAATTTTAATATTCTACTTCATGCATAGCTCAATCAAGAGATTGTGTCACAACTGTCTATTTCCTATTCTCCTCGCCTTCAGGTTTCAAAGGCAAATAAATATAAACTCTCAAATTGGTCCACATGTATTTTCAAGAGTGAAGTTCATAATGTCAGGGTTGTTCAAAAGAAATCTTGATCCATAAAGCATGAAACTAACACCAGTTACTACCCCATCCCCCAGTTATTATTTTTGTTTTGACAAAGATAAAAACTTCAACTGTGCTACCCACTGTAAAATTTTTAGATTCACCATATCATTTCTCCTTGTCCATCATCCTTCTTCTTCTTCTTTTTTACAAGTTTACTGATGCTGAATGGTGGGAGACATGCCAGTCTCTAACTGTACAGCATCTTTGTATTAATACTAGTATTAATCCTACACCTTGTCAAGCCTTTGTAGTTATTTCACGAAAAAAATGTAGAATGTCTAGTTACTTTAAATTCAACTTAATCATGTTTTTTTTAAACACACACACACACAGATATATATATATATATATATATATATATATATATATATATATATATATATATATATATATATATATCATACACTTTACTACAATAGTTAAAGGTCCCCGAACTAGCGTTACTCTATACTTATCACCCGATCTCGTCCGCAGAAAATTTATTTGCATTGTCCCAGTCATTAACAGCATATCTGAAATACAAGGTAAGTTCTTTTCATGCTTTCATTTTGTAAAACCAATGCTTACCATGCTTACGGTTATTTCAAATCATGGCGTCTATCACATGTTGATGTTTCGTCTTCCTCAGGACTGGACAGCGCGTGCTTTCCTTCGGCGGTGACAGGCCGTTTCGCCCCATGACTATTTCGCTCTAGGATCGATATCTCTCACTACTACGACAGGTAATTTAAGTCTAAAAATTAAAGTCTGCTGGATTCGCCCGATCAGTGGCGTCAATTTCAATATCAGAGACATAAATACCAAGAAATTTATTTCTCTTTTCTTATATAGTCCATGATGTATGTGGTCAGATAGGAAGATGTGGTCTCAAATTGTTGTTGACAAAGCTTGAAAAGACTGGCGTAACAGGTAAAAAAAATCGGTGGTTATTTAACATGTTTAATGAGCCAATATTTTTAAAAAGGTCCTACAACAAAATTAAATTTAAGTAGTTGAATCATATACGTCAGATTCGGGGGGGGGGGGGGGGAGCAAACATCGTAATATAGGCATTTAAAATTGGAGCTTAGTCCCCAAACGTTTTTCCATTGGCTTCCAACGACTTTGTTTATTCTTTCTAAGAACTTACTTTACAAAGGAAATGTTTCCTTATTTACCAGTGATTTACACAAGGTAATTAACTTTAAATTAAGCCTAAATTTTAGAATCTTTAAGAATTGATGCTGCGCTCGCTCCAACGGTCGCACCGTCAACATATTATTTCAATTTATCCTTATCAATTTTTGAAGAATTATTCACTGAATGTTGAATTCGCGGAATTTTTATTTCCGCGAGTATAGCGAATATTAACTCTGCGAGTTAATTTCCTGCTGTACAGTATATTTGTAGAGAGCCTATATTTTATAATATGTTTATGCCATCTACATGCAATATGACAGTCTGTTATTAAATGCAAAGTAACTTTTGATCCGTTTTTAGTAGAGACCTGATATAAGGAGTCTCCATTCTTTATTGCCTGACGCCACGTGCGTCAGGCAGTATAAGGATTAATATTTCAGGGATCCGAAACTAAGCGATCATTCTTAATGAACTAGATTTTCTGCAAGCTGATTTACATCGGAATTTGTTACCTGCATTTAAACAAATACAGTTTGCAGAAGAAAGAATCATATAACTGATTCAAAATAGTGATGTGTTTAATTCCTTCAATTTTTCTGCATGCACATATTTATTCTTTGCGATTCTTTGTACGAACATGTCCGTGTAACATTTTTTCTGCGTTTCTAAACTACTGGATCAGTCCATTTGCCTTCTACAAAAGGGGTGACACAATCATTTCGCGCCAAGTGTCACGTAAATTATCTTCGCGCCTTTTTCTTGGGTTGTTCTATTGAATGGGTGTGATAACTTCTATGGAAATAAAGGTTATTCTTTTAACGTGATTCTTAAGCTCCAGATTTTTTATTAACAGTAAATTTTATCTCATTTTTTAAAAGAACACATTGTATATGGACAAGCAACACTAAAGCAATGAATTTGCTGATTATTCTTACTATTTATTCCATAAGTGGACTAGTCTAATCATAAACAAACTCCCTCCACCCAGTAAATGGGACATCCCTTCTTGATTCTGTTTTCCACCTAGCCTTTCTTTCAACATTACATTTATTAATAATGTACGTTACAAGGTAAGAGTTTTTTAAAAAAAACTTAGAAAGTCAGCGAGTAGCATATTATTTCATGCTTTGTGAGGAACAAGGGTTTCCTTTTAATACAGTGACAAGAGTGTATGTCAGTACCTGTAGCGGAATGGGCTTCACTCCCGTAAGGTTCTAAGTAAAGAATCGGCAAAATGAAGAAGACATCAAGATCTGTACTGGTTTTTATTTCATAAAAAAGCACATTATTTTAATTATGAGAAAGGTCCTGAAATCGATTGAAAAGAAAAACTAACAATTTCAAAACTGTATATAAAGATGTATTTTAAGCTCATTTATAATACATGTATATAGTAAGACCATCATCGCGTGAGTTTTGTTGGGGGGGGGGATTATTAGTATCTTGTTTTGCGCTAGCTATAAACATGATAAAGTGTACAGGTTATTTACTTTGATTTCTAGAGTAGCATTGAAGCATTTTTGTCTCAAACACTTCAAGACAACTTTCCCAGTTATAACTGTTCATAATTTACTTCGTCGTCGAGAACGACGGAAAACAGACAAGTCTATGAATAGAGGCCGTCTCATCAATCTATCACTGACCATGAAGAAGTGCGCCATCTAGTAAGAGAGTACATGTAATATGAATTTCTTTAAAACGAATCATCTAACTATTTTCCCAGAATTATCAGTGGCGGATCCAGGAATTTCATAACGGGAGGGCGCAGTAGAAGGCATGGGGTCTGGGGGCTGTATTGAAACCCCAGTGTGTCCAGAGCAAAGCTCCGATTCGCCCCCGGAAGCTGACGAATTCTTACAAATAAGAGGTGTTTTTTCCTTGATTTTAGGATAATGAACATATAAGTTCTACATACAAAAAATTCAAACGGGGGAGGGGGGGGGGGGCGCACGCCCGGCGCGCCTGTGCTGGATCCGCCTTTGATTATAATCTACGCTGTAGCGCACTTGCAGTTTCATCCCAACGTAACTAGTCAGCCCGTAGGCTAACTAATAAATGACCAAATAGTGGCATGTCTCAGATATTCGTTAATCTGTAGTATTTGGTTATGAAATTTGAGAAAGTCAACTGTACGTCTTGTATAATGAAGTATCGCAACTATGTCGCTCCTTGATGATGGAAACGTTTAGCACCTCTCCTGCATATACGTTCCATAGATATTGATTGATTAGTCAGGCAAGCTTTTTGAAAAGCTATTACTTGTACACAATAAAGCTCAAGGTCATATTCAGAGGTCAAAGGTCAAATATTTTTACATTATCTACTGATTCTTTAATTTTTTTGCATTGATTTTTTTTTAATCACCAAAATATCTGAAACTGCCGGTTCAGTGTTCCTCATTTTGACACATTTTAATCTGGGTTCTATTTCAATCATTCTGTTGATTTTTTGTAAAAATTGAATTATACAGTTTCTCTTAAGAGAACTTATAGTGTAGCATACTTACATGTGAATTTTCAATTCCTGGACTAAGTATGTTTTATCTTTTAATCACATTTTACTCAAAATATACCAGTATCAATATAATTTACTGAAATTTAGTTACAGAAAGGTTGTATTTATAAAAAGCATTACTCAAATTTGCAATAGATGGATCGGTAATTTAAAAAAAAATGCATATTCTAAAGTGCAATGTATGATTTCTCAATCCTCTTACAAGGGGCTGATAAGCCATATTTCAAGCTATGTGGGGAAAAATGTGCGGTTGAATTTATTTCAAATTACATAGAAAGAGAGATTTTGTATCCTAGAAGAAAATTTCAAAGTTTCAAAAGAAATAAATTTGAAGAAAAATTTGGCCTATCTATTGTGTACTACCTTAAAACATTTTTACTAGCCTAGTCTAATATTATTTTCAGGAGTTCTGTATTATATCTAATATTGTACTCCAAAATAATACTGGAATGTGGAAAACTAAGGCTGATGTCACCTAGCTTTTTCACAGTCTCGTAATCCAATTCGAGCTATATAGAATCCAATTCAAACTATATTGAAATTAACATCTCGTAATTCATATCAAAGAAAGAAACTTCCAAAGTAGGAATATCCCAGAAATCCCTTAGAATTTACATTCAGGTCACTGATTGTGAATCTACCGGTATTGTAGCACATTATATGGTCGAGTTAACACTTTATCTTAAATCAAGAATGTAAGCATTCAGGGGAAGAAAATGCGAAATCCTGACAAGTTTTCCTGCATTTTATCTTTCGTCTGCCCGGACCCCCCATTTCCGATGTGTGCTCTGTCCTGCCCATAATGTCTTACTCATCAATTCCGATTTGGTTTAATGCTGTTCCGCAAGTTCTTTCTACCAATATAAGTCCTGGTACAATTTTACAATACTTGCAAGAAACTGATCTTTTACAGTAAGATTAAGATATATGCATTTTCTTTAGCAAATTTTTTGTTATTATAAATTTAATTGTTTACGTATATGTTTAAATTCAAAGTCCGTCGGACGGGACGTTAAATGGTGTTCCCTGTCAAGGATAACAAAATCCTTGTTACGTAAAAGATCGTCTTTTCTGGTTTCCTAAAAAGAGTAGGCTCACTGGGTGCGGGCCGCCAGAGAAATCCAAAAAATCTTCAAACCTGAACGTAACTTTTTACCGCCGAAATATACGGAAGGGAATTACCGCCGAAAGTCTATTTATCTTGCTTTTATTCTTATTCTGCCTACTTCTTTATTCTTTGTTATTATTGTAACTTTATTGTTTTCATATACATGCATGTCTTTATTACATTTCACTTTGAACTTTTTTCATTCCTCATTTTGTCCTTTCTTCTATGTTGCTTTATTCCTTTATTCTTGTATATACGTTTTTTTTCTTTTAAATTGATACAGTTTCTGTAATAAAAAATTATGTTCATCTCTATTACAAATGTAAATTCAGTCACGCAAACCATGAAGCGCATTCAACGAAGACGAATACAAGTAGAGTGAATTTAATGAGGCATTTTAACGCTAGGTGGCAGGGTGTTCGCTGAGAGTGTTGGTAAAATTAGGTACGCAAACCCGGGCCGAGGTTATTCCGAGATTTTTCAATTTTCTGCCTTAATACTTTATCAATCGAACCCAAATTTTCAAGTTATGTTAGTTATAGGTTTATTTGTATACGCGGTAAAATTGCCCCGAAATGCTCAATATTTTAGATTTTCTCGAAGATATTTGGTTTCCAAGTTGGTAAAATGGGAAGGCAGTATCAAGCTGACATTTTTAGTGGGTTTTTTTTTTCTGGACAAAAAGCTTATAAATGTATGAATTATTCTGGTGTTAAACATTATATTTTAACTATTTATAAGCATTTCTTCTTTCAAATGTGCTTTTGTTGCTTTAAATAACTCCTTTTAAGAAAATCTTGGTCATTAAAACCGGACCAATGACGAAAACTCCAAAATAATTGTGTATTTTCTGTCACCTGAAAAATATAACCCTA